TATAACTATGTTACTGAGCAGATTACAACCCTCTCTTCAGTAACAAAGTCTGTCAAAAAATTAAAAAGAAAAACAATGGCATATATAGTGGTATTTTCCAAAAGGCTGAGCAATCTATTACTGTGCCGGAGGATACAGCTGTAGTTGACACCATCATATAAAATAGCACCAATGAAATTGTAGCCAGACATGTTGGTAATAGATATGTTGTTGGAGAATGTAACACAACTCCTTGATGAAGACCTGCAACATATCCCAATATCCCACAATAGTGTGAAAGGATCAAACATCACACAATTTTTCTTCACATAGGGCACTGTGGAGGAGGCTCTGGCTGGATGCATCACCTCTTTCTACTTGTACTTGCACATACAGAAATTTCTCAGATATCTCTGTTTCATTTTTGCAAGTCAGACAGACAACTGTGAGAGAAAATAAGGGATAGATTTCAGTACTTTTCTGGCACCACATTATTTCGAGGTACATCATACTACTCTACCTTTTTTGTTCCACAGGCCACAGAAAATATCTACTAGATATGTCTCGACATCTCTATGACACCCAATATAAAGAAGCAATAATTAATATGCTTGCCAGAGTAACAGTTACTTATTTTTCCACAAGATAACAGCCACTTCACTTATCCTGTAATAATAGAAAAGTGATGCTGGAAAACCCCGAGCAGCTTCGCAAATACATCAAATGCATTGTTCAATATGTGACCGGAGCACTCCTTATACATGTCTGCAAAATGACAGTAAAAATCTAGGAAACTGAAACTGAGCGTACCTATACACCGTAGGTTCTGCTGTTGTGATACAGCTATCATAACTATGATATATACATGTTAGATTTTTACAGTCAGTGATGTCACTAAAACTGTGGCCCAAAAAGCAGCTGCCATCTCTGCAAAAATGTTTGTCCAAAATTTCCATAGCCAGTTGAGTGTGAATGAAGACCTGTAACAAGGAAATACATCCGTTGAACAACTGAAACGAGTTTGGGAATGACGTACAATCACAAGTTAACCTGCCAACTTGCATTAAAGTGGCTCCTTTTATCAGTGTTATCTAACTCGAAGTGTTCATTGGAAAGGTGCGCCCACCAGCCACCTGGGGGCAGAAAAATAATGAACTGAAGACATCAGACATCAGCGCGCCAAGAACAGATCGACATTATATCATATAAAAGGACTGTCATCCCATAAGAGACATGTTAATAGGTGAATTAAACAATTTTAAACAAAGAGCGGCTTTGGTAGACTGCTACACATTTTATAACAGCAAAAAAGTGTAACATTTGCAAACTGCATATTAACCATTTGAATGTTATGAACGGCTATACATTGCTACTGAAAGTAAAAACACTTAAAAGACGTATGTACCTGGTTCAAATCTTCCGCGCATATTGTAATTACGTTCAAAACACGAAATAAATTGAAAAAAATCACGGCAACCGACGAATAACCATTGAACTGACGCATACTTGCACGGTAAAAACGATGCCCCATTATTTGAGG